TTTTATTCTAGGCTTATTCTACTAACTTATGATTTCACAAAAGTATACAACTTATTGGACGAGTTTAACGATGTTTATTTAACAGTTGGATGTTCAAGAGCACACAGATTGGCTGATTTGATTCACGGTGTTAATGGACGAGTTTCCTCCTGACACTCTTCAGAATTCTCACCGTTAACCTAATATAACAGATCAGCATTGTTACATAGATGTGTTCGCTATGATTTTCATCCTTATTGGTATAATATTCATTTACACTCACATCAACTGTATGAAACTCGTCCACTTAAGCTCGGTGGTCGGCTAGTGAAATGCCGGAAACCGCTTATGACACACACACTTGGCAATGATCGATGGTTCTTCAACTTGGCAGCTGGTTCAAAGCGAATGCAAGTCAAAAAACCTTCGAGAGGGATCAAATAGTAATCAAAGATCAAAGGATGCATTCGGTAGGATTCGGGAAAAGGTAAAAATCAGAAAAAAATTGAAAAATAGACGAAGTGAAAGAAGGTTAAAGGCAAGTTAGCTGATTGAAAACCAGAAAGAGAGAAGATTGACAAAAAAATTTTTTTATTGAATAACAAATGGAAAGGCTTGAAGTTGAATGAGTTAATGTTTATGCTGTTCTCACAATGTTTCATGAGCAGGCCAAGATTAACAAGAAGATTTTTTTCTATCAAATTCAAAAAAAAGTCATCTGTTAACAACAAAGATTCAAGTTTTTCTTGCGTCGATCGGTTTCATTTGGGGGTGTCTCCAAGCATTCGACTTCTCTTCAGATCCGCAGTAATGTTCGGCCGACAGGGGCATGCAGTTCCTTAAGCGTAGAATTACCATAAGGGCGGAGGATTCCAATGACTTGTCTGGGCTTCGATCCAGGGGCCATATGTACTGTGGGGGCATCATCTGACAATATCTCATGTCGTCCCACTAGCGAAAGCATAATGTGAAATAGAGAAACAGAGATACATATATAGAATGTATTCAAAACAAGAGGCACCTTCTCCCATCTGGGCGAAGATGTCACAGGCACCGACCTATTAATAAGTGTGCCATGGTCAAGTGAGGAGGAGTCATAATGAGGATTCCTATAGGTCGTAGATCTACCTGGAACATTCTAGAACAGCGTAATGATAGCTGATGGAGTCCTA